TTCATAGGTATACAGTCTTTGCATGTGCATATATGTGTGTGTTTGCAGCACGCTTAGAAGAAGCCAATTCAGCTCTCTTTTCCCGCCAACTTTAGATGTGGGCAGCTTCAAGAAAACAATGGCAAGTTCTACACGGAGCAAAGGCTTTTTTCTTTTCTTCTTACTGGTCTCCTTTAGGGTACCTTAACAAATTCTTTGCTTCAGTTACTAAGGTGAGAAGAAATACTTGCTGCCCTGATGGAACACAAGTCTGTGGGTTTCCCCCTGAATGGCATGAGAGCCTCCAGAGTTGGAATATAAATTGGCTTCTAGAATGAAATGCTGGTATCTCCACCCATGAGTCCTAACCTATTACCAGAAGAGTGATTATAAATATGTTTTCGTGGGATGGGGAGACCTGACTTTATGTAGTTCTGGGGATTGAAGAGTCTTGTGTGCTAGGCAAGGGCTCTACCACTAAGATGCAGCCCTGGCCTCTTCTCCACTTTGAACTTTATTTTGAGACATGGTCTCATCATGTAGCCTGGGTTGTCTGGAAATTCTCCACCCTCCTGAGTTTGCCTCTCCAGTGCTGGGAAGGCACCATGGTGCCTGGCTGAGAGAACTTTTGTTTGGCTGCAGTGTTGAGGATCAAAGCAAAGGCATTGCACCTGCTAGGCAGGTGTGCTGCGCTGAGCTACGTACTCTCAGAATAGAGACTGACTTAAAACATCATTGACTTTTCTTTTTAAAATAGTATACCACCCCCAGCCCCTTAGAGCAGCTTTAGGTTCACAGCATTGAATGGAAGGCACACCGGCCTTCCCTATTACCCCAGCCCTTACATGTGCATACCTTCTCCGTTGTGAACACAACCCACAGTTACACCATGGTGAACCTGAGACTCACCTCGTTTACCGGGGACCAGAGATGCTGTGGACTCATGACTTTCATTTCCAAGTAGACCCTATGTTGCTCTGATGCTGTAGACGTATTGAGAGACTGCTGATTTCAGCCACAGGCAGGCTGCGGTGGCAAGTCTTCTTTCACATCCTTAGAGTGATATATATATATATATATATATATATATATATATATATATATATATATATATATCCAGTTTATTGGCTTTTATTTTAGAGTGAGGATGACTAAGAGGACCTTGGGTGGTGGACAATGGTTTGATGCTGCCATGCTCTCTTCTGGGTGTGGACATAGTTTCATAAGACTATTTGGCAGTGCTGGTAAGATGTGAAGATGAATTATCTGTAATCTCCCTGAGTGTGTCTAATTAGGTGGGTCCCTCCTCTCCCAGTTCTCAGGGTCAAGAAGAACACCTTTCAGAAGTGTTTCAGGCTCTTGCCACCAAAGGCAGCTGCTCATGGGGAGGACAGTGGACCAGAATTCAGCAGGTGTCCTTTTGAACAAGTATATTCCCCACAGTCTTCTCTTGCAGGGGCCAGTGCCAGGTAATGGTTCTGGGCACTGGCCTTGGGGCCAAGCTATGAGTGTGAATTCTCTCACGGCTTCTGTGTGGGCTTCATGTCTTGGAATAGGTCATTGCTCTATGCCTTCATATTTCCATCTTTAAAATGGGGACCGTAGTGCCAGCAACCTCACAGAGGTGTTCCAAGATTAAAGGAACTACAACGATAGAACTTGACACTTCAGAAGAACTGGATAAAAGCCATTGAAATTTTTCCAACTCACTACAACTAGCCTTTTCCTCTGACATTCTGTGAAACTCATCTCTGTAAGGCCAACCTCCTCATTTTCAAATGTCAGTTTTCAGCCTTCATTTTTATGTATCTTTTTAATTATTGTATTTTATTTTATATGCATGAGTATTTTGCCCTCATATATATCTGTGTACTGTGTATGTGACTGGTGCACTCAGAGGCCGGCGTAAATCCTGAACCCACCACTGTTTCTACCCTCTGTGCCTTCATCCCACCTTCCTGTGGCCTGCTCTGCTTTTCTTTTGCTTGTCTACCCCCTACCCCCTTATAAGATGAAGTCCTTCCTTCTGACCTTTCTGGAAAAGGGAAATGTGAGGTCAATTTTTACATATTGGAAAAAACACCTCTCTCTCTCTCTCTCTCTCTCTCTCTCTCTCTCTCTCTCTCTCTCTGTGTGTGTGTGTGTGTGTGTGTGTGTGTGGGAAGAGCAGGAAGGTACACTTGTTTATGCACTAATCACACTAGGATCTCAGTAGGTAATTGGGGGAGATTGTAGAGAAAATTACCATACATTTTTCTTTTATTCTCTTCCTCTCACTCCTGGAGCTTCTTTTAATCCGTTGTTTCATCTTGGTATGGAAATTTACTTTTTCTTGCTTAGTTTTAACTCCTTCCTTTCAGTTTGATTTTTGGAAGATTTTCTTGACTTCTTGAGCTCTTCATTGACTTTAAGATGTTGGTGACTGACATTCTCATAGACCCTTTCTTACCTTTGAATTGTTCACCCCTTAAGTATTGCCTTGTTTTAGAGCTGCAATGTCCTATTTACGTCTTTGAGACTATTGATTTGTGCATTGGCTTTTGGAGTCTTCTTTGTACTTCGCCTCCATTTCCTTCAGGCCCCCGCGAGCTCATTTTGCTTTCTTTTGGGCAGAAACTCTTCTGAACTATCTGGTGGTTTTGTGCACAGCACTGTCTCTTTATATTTAGGAAGTGAGCTCTGGAAAGTTGAAAGGATTCCACATTATGTGCATGAGGTTGACGTGCACGTTGTCAGTTTCCCTGTGAAATGATTCCAGGGTGGATTTTCATCAGGAAAAGCAAAAAATGTCAGCATCTGGAAGTCTTCTTCCTGACTTTTACTTTGGAAGCAACTTCTCACATCCTCTAGTACTGGGGTGAGTGGCTACTGGGAAGTGGTAGGCAGGTTTGTGCACAAATGTGATTGTTCTAGAAACAGGAAGAAAGGGCTCAGCTTCATGCTTCATCCAAACCCTCTCCTGTGTCTTTTGATTCAACTTCTGTAGGAATAAATGGCTCCTCTTGTGGGGTGAGGACAAGGTTGTGGACCCAGGTGTCTTGTTGAGGCAGGGTCTCCCTGCCCTCTTCCTGTGCCCCATATCTCTCATACTGTGAGCTCTTCTGGACACCCTACTCCTGGTATACCTGGTTCCAACAGGTCATCTGCCACGGGGACTCTCTTATTTTGCTCTGAGTCACTGTCCTCCTTTGATATGTTTTTCACCTTCCCAAATGTTGTTGAAATGTCTTGTTTATTCTCTTCTCTTTCTCTTAGTGCTCTAATATTTCTTCCTTTCTTTTGTATTTTAGTGAAGGTTTGGGCGGTGGCTAATAGCAGGGCTTAGTGTTCCTCATTTCACTGCAAGTCACTATGAAAGTTTTTCCAGTGAGTTTCTGAGGAAAGTGTTTTCCGGACCGCACTCCTTTTTGCAAGACAGGTGATTACTCTGGGCGCTTGGGCAACCACTTATTGCCACTTTTGCACACGGTCTCTAGACGCCATCAGCCATTTGTCACGGGCTGGAATAAGCCTGCCTGTGCTGACGGAGTGGAATCCAGGGTCCGCCGTTTGCATTTACCAGTCTTCCATTTAGTTCTGCCTCATTGGCGCTTCACCTCACTGTTTGATGGGAAATATTCTCTCCATAAACTTCAGTAAGATGTAATGGATTTCTGCAGTGGAAATATTGTTCAAGCTGCAAAACCAAATCACAGCAGGCACTTTGTCTGGGGACCCTGTGTCTAGCAAAGCAGCCATTTAAAACACCCGTTGTAGGAAGTCACACACAGTCACAGCTAATTCCCTTTACAGGAGTTTTATTTGTATGCATGGGAGAAATAACACCACCAAACACAATCATTGTTCTGCTAAGATGGCAGCATTAATTATCTCTGTCAACTTGTGCCTTTGAGTCACCTTCCTCGCTGGGTTTTGTCTTGGGGTTGGAAAATGGGGAGAATGGGATTGGTGAAGATGTAGTTGGTATGCTTTGTAGACATTGGGACAATGTGGACATTTCAAGAGTAGGCAAGCTAGGCCAGCTACCACCAGAGATATAGTCTAATTACTGTCACTTGTAAAACATGGTTTAGATGAGGCTCAGAGCAACACTGAGTGAAGGAAGGCCATGGCAGAGTCCAGTGGAAGCCATATCATACCTCTCTGGAAATTTGATGGCAATGCTGAAGGTCATGGGGCCTCCAATTTCCTATTCCCAGGTTCTGGGTCATGGCTATACACTAAAACACATGGAGAATTCTTAATACCCAGGTGCATCCCAGACTATTTCTGGGGTAAAACTCTGTAGTTTTACGCAGCCCCCCCCAGTGTGTGTGTGTGTGCGCGCGCACGTGCACGTGTGTGCATGCATTTACGTAGGTGAGAGGTTGACACGGGGCTCTTCCTCAGTTGCTTTCTGCCTTATTTTCTTTAGACATGATTTCTTACTATAGCTGGAGCTCTATAGATAACCAGTAAGTGCTAGGTATCCCCTTTGCTCTGCCTCCCCAATACTGAGACCACAAGTGTGTACCACCATACCTGGTGTTTTATGTGGGTATTGGGGACATAACTCAGATCCTCATGCTTGTGAGGCAAGGATTTTGCCACCTGAGGTTCTCCCCAGCTCTTCGATAACAGTGATTTTTAGTGCTCCAAGTAGAAGAGGAATGAAGAGGAACAGCTACTTCTAGGTTCTGTTTTTAAGTCTTGTTACTGCTGCATAAACAAAGAAACATGAGTTTTATTACTTTGAGCTAATTTGGGCTTGGGGAGAAATTAAAAATGATTCATGTAGTGGTTATTTCAATTCTTTTTTTTTTTTTTTTTTTTGGAACTATTTCTATGGTTGAGAGTCCGTTATTTTCAAGGACGGGAATTTGACTTGCATTGTCTAAGGTCAGAATTCAGGGAATTTGGGCAAAGCTTATTAATGGACTGGACTCTTCTGGAAAATATGGTGGTAATACAGTGAAGGGTCTGTGGGCAGGGCTGAGTGGATGTGACCTCACTAGGTCCTGTGTCTCTCATGGTTTGTGCAGGTCCTGTGGCTGTCATCAGTGGTGAGGAGGACTCAGCCAGCCCACTGCACCACATCAACCACGGCATCACCACACCTTCCTCGCTGGACGCTGGGCCGGACACAGTGGTCATCGGCATGACCCGCATTCCAGTCATTGAGAACCCCCAGTACTTCCGCCAGGGACACAATTGCCACAAGCCAGACACATGTAAGTAATAGGATTGGATGCTGTCCCTTTTTCTGTAGGGGGTGGTATGGAAGCAAACCATGTCGCTGGGGTTCTGGAACCTTCTAGGGTAGCCTCCCACTTTCTAGAAGACCCCCTCCCCCCTTTGTCTTTAAGCACAGAGAATAGCCCGGGCAAGGAGATCCCAGTGGACAGAGTCCCCAAGAAAGGGAGAGCAATAGGTCTAAGTTTAGTTCCCTCTTTAATTCACCTAGCTCATCATAGACCTGAATAGGGAGAGGTGCTCCTGTAAGGCAGGGCCCACAAAAGAGGCTGGTCTCCTCTGCAGACCCAGCCTAGCTGCTAGAACCCAGGGCCTGGCTCTGTCTGCACAGCAGCCTCTGACGTCATCAGAAGCTCCACCCAGGCCTCCATGGGAGGGGAATGGAGTGAAGGGCAGTGAGTACATTTGAATAGAAACGTCTCTCTAGCTGCCTAGCCCAGTCCCCAAATATGTACTCCCTGGAAACATTCCAGCTCAAGCTCTAGGAATGCCCCCTTCCCCACCCCCATTCCTATCACATAGTGCACCTATTTTCTCTATGTCTCTCATCGCCTGTTGGTTACAGACACTCTCCTTCTATTTCGTCTGAACCCCACTAGGTTCCCTCTCAGCTCCCGAAAGCTGTGGTAGCTTGTCCCTCCAGCCAATAGTGTTCTCCCTCCTGCATCCCCAGGCTCCATGGACCCAGTAATCTGAATGCACAGCGTCTCCCCTTCACACTGCTCCTGCCTCCTAGGGAATGGTCCACTGCTCAGGAGAGTACAGAGATACCACCGGGGAGCAGGGATGCCAGGAAGGGGTCAGAGTTACCTGTTAGGGAAAGGCCTCACCATACAGACAGAATACCAAAGGCTGTGAGTGCCCCATTCTAGCCTCCAGGATTCCCACCAGTGGGTTCTTTTCATGTCTCAATCAATCTGGGGTAGGCCTAGGAAAAGGTGTCTTCTGGTCTGGCTCATCCCCTGGTCTGAGCTCTCTGTACTTGGGTCATACTCTTCAAGGCTCCTAACTCTTGCTGCTCCTGCTGGGACTTCCAGCAGCAGAGTAGGTCTTGGGTCATCCCATCAGCCCTTGCTTCCATTTCTCTGGCTCTGAGATTATTTAGTGAACATGACCACGGTGAGAAGGATTGGGCTAGTGTCAGATCAGAATGTCATTTGCCTCCGTTTCTAGAATCTGCACCAGTGGTTTTCAAAGGCTTCCTGTGAATGTCATACAAAGGATACTTGGGTTCTAGATCAAGGTTGGCCATAGGGAAAAGAGACGGTTTCAGATATACAGTGTGCAACTGTGCAAAGAACAGCCTGCTAAGTGCTGGTCTGAGGTCAGACTTGTCCCCTGGCTGGAGGTAGCCAGGAAGGACACTCTTCTGCAGTGTTCTTTGGCCATTGCTGTTTTGAATATCTGTGTTATTCTTGTTGTTTGAGGTAGTTCTTTTCCATAAAGTACCTGTGGATGGTGAATTAGAAAACTCTGAATGCTTGCTCCTTAGAGAAAATAGTGTTAGGTTTCCATGAGCCTCAGCTTACAATATTTTATCAGCTAACCTGTACATAACCTTTCATGTTGTCTTTGTGTTTTTGTTCAAAAACACCTTACTTAATAGTAATGACTGACTCATTCACATGCAACTCAGTAATGACTGATCAACACCGTCTTGTACACATACTTCTCTATGAGACATATGGCCACGATCATCTTGTGTTTGGGATCATGGGATGGTATTTCAGAGATATGCTTGGAAGCCATTTTAGAGTGGAATTATCAACAAAAACACCAAATGTTAAAAAAAATGATGGTCTGGAATAGACCACTCAAAGAGTACACTTGTCTATTGTATGAAAATTGGAACAATAATTTTAAAATATGTTGCATGTGATAAATATAAACAATTTCATCCTGCCAAATATAAGTGTGCATACACATCTATGTATATACAAGTTTAGCCTCTATTGGAAATGTTCATGTAGAGAAAACACTGGTTTCTGGAATGCAAAGGAGCTTTAATAACCAGGCAAATTCGCAAGTACAGAATCTTGACTGATGAGCATCACTGCATGCACGTAGAGGGTGCTCTGGACTCTTGGTACAAAGTCTCTGATCCTAGAGTCATATGTGTTCCCTGGAGCTTTGGGTACGATGCCATCTGCACAGCTACAAGACCAGGGTGAACATGTCATGTGGGAGGAAGGGAAGTTTCATTTGAGATATCAGGATCTTTGTCCCCTGGGAACTCAAGAGCTGTGGAGAAAGCTCTGGGACTAGATGCATGTCCTTGGATGTCACTAAAAATCTCGTAGCCAAGGAGCCACCGCACCAGGAAAATTGAGAGCATGCAGAGAGCCTTCCTTCTGGAGCTTGTTCTGGTGCATGAGCCAACACAGCCATCTAGGGAGCTAGGCAGCTTCTGTGTAAGCAAGTAGAGGTTAGTGGGGATTCTAGGTTTATTGGCAAAGACTTCAAGTTGGAGAGGAGCAAACAAAGCCTTATCAGAGGAAGATCACAAGTTGACTCCAATTGTCGAAGCCCTGTGACAGTAGGAAAAGTATCTTTTTTTCATGCGGCAGTCCATTTTGCCCTATCACTAGACAGTGGGTAGCTAGTTAGTTTCAGAAAACACATATGGTACAATAAGTACTTTGCAGGAACATTATAACTGTATTTGGCTACTTTTTCTTGTGGCTCCCACAAAAGGGACAGGAAGGCTGAAAGGTGGTGGGGTCTCTCATTCTCAAGGTTTAACCAGTCAAGGGAACTAACTCTATGACACAACCCTACGTACAGTAAGATGCCATCATAATAGTTGAACCACCTGTGCTTTGACACATTAATAGACAGGAGCCTTTACAGTGTTGTATAAGAGTGGGGTCACTCTTTTGGAAGGATAGAGAGAAGCAGGGAATTAAGAGAGCAGATTATTCATGTGGAGGATCCTGGGGTTTCCTCCACCGGCTTCCCTTCCTGCTCCCTTTTTGGCATGTGTCACTTGGGAAGAAATTGTGGGGACTTCAGAGCTTCCAAAAGCTGCAGGCATCACTCCTCAGCCTCTCTAGCAGTGAGTCAAGTGTAGAGTGCTTTTCCCCCTTTATTCTTGTGTTACCATGAGTCATGAGACCTTTCCGACTGGAATGATTAGGATGCTGGTTGGCTCCTTGCTTCTCACTTACTATCTGTCTTCAATCTGGTCCACAGCATTTTTCATCACATGTCAGGCTGCAAGGATATTTAAAGATCACCTGGTACCAACCCCTTATCAGATGCTTGCATCCCCTCACTTATGTTCCCAACAAATGCTCTGCATTTGACATTGTCTTCATTCTGAATTGATTCAGCCTTTTTAGGGATGCTGAAAGACCTGAATAAAGGTGCACCTTCTTGGCCCTGTGTACCCAGCCTGAGCCTAATAAGCTCCCTGTTACTTGTATAAACATTCTCTGATTCTCAAAAGCACTAGAAAATGGATATAGCCCTCCATGTCACAGAGCTGAAGGTCTTGGGCTATACCTTATAGAATGAGACAGAATCGACCTGTCCAAATGGATCACTAGGGAGATGGTGAAATGTGTGTATAGCAACACTGGGATTGTCTTTGTGAACCTTGTGGGCTGCAGTAAACTCATTCCTTGGAAGACCTTGGAAGATCTTCAGAGTTAGGCTTCTGATCTGTCCCAGAGGTTGGGGAGAGGCATCCTGGTTGTCTTTGAAGCCTTGGGCTCTCTGTTTATCACTTTCCTTAGAACCAAATGTCTGTTGAGAAAACAAATTCTTTGGGGGAGAAAATCTGCTTCCATCTTCTTCATCCCTTTAGTCTTCAGGTGTCTATGTCTGCTTCTGTTCCAAAATAGTGTTCCCACTTTCCCAGGGCCAGCACCTCACATTCCTGCAAACAGGAATGTATCTCCATGCCTGGTACCTCCTTCCACTGCCCTCCTCCAAGACTGTGTTTGTCTGTTTCTTCTTCTCACCATGACCTCTTGTTGTGCCATGATGGAGCTGCATGTCTGCTTCTTAAGCCACATCCCCAGGATATTCACTACCCTCTTTCTTTGATCTCTTTGCATAGCTGGACCAGGCTCCCAAGTCTCTCTTCTTAGCATCTGTGCACTATGCTGGGAAGACGTTAGCTTCTCCATCAAACACACATGTAGGATGGGTTTGTTCCAGGCATTTTTCTAGACTCTTGAAAAATGAAGGGAGGAGATACATATTGCTGTTATGCTCTCCAATTGACTGCCACCCATAGCTAATTTCTAAGACCCCTTGCTTCCTAGAACCCTTCCCTCCACTGTGCCGTGTACACTCTGTTTTGTTGTTGCTTTTGGTTGTCCAGCCTTTATCCTTTCTTTCCAGACTGGCCATCATTGTCTCCTAACTGCTACCGTAGTGTAATTCCTGTTGTGAAATAACACACACCCCTCTCTGTATAGCATCGTTCCATGCCATTTTCTTCCTTAATATACTATGTTATAATGAAACTTCAATTCCAGCCTCCTGTGAATCCCTCCCAGACTCACACTATGCCAACATGACTTTTCCTTCCTTGCTTCTTTCTAATCCATTGCTTGCAGCCAACACCATGGACCAGTCTTGAATGACTTTTAATCAGATTCTAAGTTCTGCTGTTACATCTCAAATAAATGTTTACTGTTTTCCAATCACAGATTTTCTAATTTTCCCACCCTGTGCATATGCTCACACTATGTGTGTGCACATGTGCTCATGTGTGTGCGTGTATGTAGAGGACAACTTTAGGTATCACCCCTCAGACTCCACTCATGTTTATTGAGACCAGGTCTTCCCTTGACCTGAAATGGGCCAAGTATACTAACTGACTGTCCAGTAGGCCCTGGGGACCTATGTATCTCCACCTCCTCAGCACAGGCATATTCTTTAGTTTCTACTAAATAGCATAATACTAAGGTCAAAGAAGACACTAAATGACATTTGTCAGATGGTGCTATAGTTTGGATCCTGAATG